CTAAAGTTGTTTGTTCATTCTCAACTTGACTTTTTTTACGTTTAGGATTGGTAGCATTAAGGGAAGATATTTCGCGTATTTCTACCATATATATGATGGCTTCACGAATTGAATGGTTCACTTTTGAATAATTAATTATATGTTTTTCCATTATTCCGGTCTTTTCAGGTCAAAAAGTTTGATTACACGCTAAACATGTTGCAACATAATGTCCTTTATCTAATTCATCCTCTTGTTCAAAAAATCTCCAAATAGGTTTTTTTGGGCGTCTACCAGAATTGGTGGACTTTAATTTTTTTGAAGTTGAAGTTTCGTTATTATCGGACATTTCAAAATGAAAAAGAGATTATCGCTATTACATAATCAGGTATCTTGTATAGCAATCATTTATAATAAAATTTAGTTTCAGGATTTGGTAGAAGTTAGGGTTATGGAATAAATTTCGGAAAATCAGAATATGTTTCAGATATCGGAAATAGTTTCAGGATTCGGTGGAAGTTTTGGTTATGGATCAAGTTTTGATTCATATATACTGAAACCCGAAACTTTCGAAAATACTTTCAGAGGTTTCGATACCCATGTTTAGATACAACTTACAATATATAATTATCACTAGGTTAATAGGTATCACTATCTGAATAGACTGCTAAACCACTAAACCTCATGGTAGAGTACTTTGGTACCTGTCATCATTCACATTCATCACAACTACTAGAAAGAGAGTCAAAAACAACCTAAGATAATAGCCTATACCATAGTTGTCTCGTCATATATCAAAATCATTTGTGATATAAACACCATAATGGTTAAAGACAGTGCAATATTAACTACCTATAACCTGTAACTATTGTTCAATCCAAGTTATACAATACTTACCATTGATCCTACCCTCATAGGTACTCTTTGCAGACGATATGATACTTGTTTATTACAGACCAGTCCCTTGACATAGGTTCTAAACTCAATTGGTTCAATATACTTATCACTAGTAATACCTGACGAAATTATCTTTCTTAATATGACGAAATTGACGAAACCAAATGATGAAACTAGTTTTTTATTAATGACAAAATTATTTTACTTAATTGCTAAAATTATTTTTAACTTAATCTAAATTCCTTAAATTAAAATACATTAAAAAATATAATAATTTTATATTTATTCATATAAAAATAT